GAAACGTTTTTTCAGGGATACAAACTTTTTCAGAACACCGGTAGACGGCAGCCATTACAGATGAACATGTTGTTGTTCGAGGAACGGCTCGGTCACACACTAATGTCATTAGTTTGTTATTGTTACTGAGCTGCAGGACTGCTTTTTAACCCTTTTTTCACATCATGTCTCCTGCCTGGATCTGTTATTATCTCGCTCTGAAGAACGGAGGAGTGTCACAGGTGAGCTCGTTTTAACTGCTTTTTACGACGTGGTCTCATTTCCGGACTACGTAATCTTGTGAATGAAGCCGATTTTTCAGTTAAAATACATAAGTAAAAATATTTATCCGAGTATAGTACTACCTCCCAACTTTATGGATGATTTTATGGATTTAATTTTACATTTTATAGTTGAATAAATACGGTGTCTAAAACTGGCTTCCAAACTTTTCAGTTTTTGACCAACAAATCAACAGCAGCAGACTTGTGCCCCTCTATTTTTGATTAATAAACAGATTTATGGTAACAATTTTTATTATGCTAATTTTATTAATTTTGAATACACCAACCCAACTCTTTTGTAACAATTAAGACAAAAATATGTTGTTGTTCTTTTAAATGTAATCAATTGTGAAAATCATTTCAAGACCCCTTCTTTTCAGGACCCACATTGAGCTCTTGACCCCAACTTTGGGACCTGGTCTAGAAGTTTTAAAGCCAAAGTATGATATTGCCTTCATAAAAATACAAAAATAGAGACCTAGATCAGTTTCTGGATCCCACTTCTGCAAGTTTTTACAAGTCAGCGCCTCACATTTATTATCTTCTATTCCTTTTGTTTGAGCTAAAAACTGGGTATGTTCATGAATGTTTTCCATCGTGCACGCCACCCTCACCCGTCGGCCCAGAATCTGATTGATGGCGGCGCTCTCCTTTAACGTGCACTCGGCGATGACCTTCGCCCTCATCTCCTTCATGTAGAGCATGAAGGCGTTCAGGGGCTTCTTGATGACCGGCTTCTTGGGCTCCTTCTCTCGCTTGACCTCCACCTGCGGCTTCCTAAAGGTGAAAGTAGAAGTTATTGTTATTTACTTAAATCACTCACTATAAAACATACAAACAAACTGTGACAGACAGATCAAAGTGGTCACACTTACATGTACATGCTTCTGTCGTATTGTTCATGCTCCTGTTTGCCTGAAGGGGGCACTATAGCTGGGTGGGGGATCCCTGTAGGATGCACTCCTGATGGGCCGAGCATCAGAGAGTGAGGAAACCTGGAGGAGGGCGAGCAAGTGGGGAGAAGAACAGACACGGTGTCAGAGAAGTGAGTTCTGAAAGACTCGGCAGAGCAAAAGAGCAGATAGGAAGGGACGAGCATCAAAGCGGAGCAGGAGTTCTGGGAGAAGCAATGTGCATAAAAAGCATAAAAAGCATGTTGGGTGATCATTGAAGTTCCTGAAGTGATTTTATTTTATTAATGAGATCAGCCTGTGAAAAATATCTGTTTTTAATCAGTAAATTTACACAAACGCATAATTCATAGCAGATAAATAGAATGTGTGGCTGAGAAAAAACACCCAAATCAAAAGTTATATTGAGTCTGTTGGTTGGTATTTACAGTAAAAACAAGTGAACGCAGTTGTCAGAGATGTTAACATTTCTCACCACTAGAGGGCGACCAAGCACTGTGAAATCAAAGTTCTACATCTCAGTTAAAACTGAAATTTTAAGATTCTGTTTCCATTTTTTAAAAATGTTCAGGTAAAAGAAAAAGCAACAGAAGCAGAAAAAAATATACAAAATGCGAAGAAAAAGAAAGAGTAAAGCACTGACTAACAAAAAAGCAACATAAAGCATCAGCTGCTGGTAAACTGGCAGTTTTATGAGCGTCAAAAACACAACATATTGTTTAAGCTTATGTGTTTTCTACCTTTGATGGTTCAGTTACTGACAGTAAAATAATAGTATGCAAATTAAATAATGCAAACAGTTTAGTAACCAATTTCATCTTTTCAGAACATGTTGATTTGTGTGTGTATGCAGACATCTTTAACAATGCTTCAAGTGAGTTAAATTTGAGCTACACTGCAAAAACTGTCATCTAACCAAGTTTTAAAATCTTATATTCAGCCAAAAAAAGTCTTTTTGATCTTGTTTTGAGACTGATTTACTAAACAAGAACTGATTGTGTAAGAATAATCATCTTGTTTTCAGAATGTGTAAGATTATTTGTCTTGTTAGTCTGAAAATTTGACTCAAATTAAATTAAAATATCTGCCAGTGGAGTAAGAAAATTTTACTTGGTAAGATTCTTGAAATACTTGATTTGACTCAAATTTGCTTATTTCAAGAATCTTACCAAGTAAAGTTTTCTTACTCCACTGGCAGAAATTTTTGACTTAATTTGAGTCAAATTTTCAGGCTAACAATTTTACACATTCTGAAAACAAGATTATTATTCTGTTCAGTTCTTGTTTAGTAAACCAGTCTCAAAACAAGATCAAATGGACTTTTTGGCTGATATAAGATTATAAAACTTGGTTAGATGGACAGTTTTTGCTGTGTACCTAGAAAGCTAAACAAAGTGCATATAAAAAATATTTTGATGTGCATGCACATCCCCAAAAAACATAAAGCTGGGAGATGTTATGTAAGAGAATGTCACTTTTCTGCATTTTGTGGAGACTGGGAGGTTTGACGTTCAGAAACACAAAGATAATAAAAAAACAGAACCAAAAAGCAGCAGGACAGCAGTTGTCCTAATGGTATTCATTATGAGCAGCAGCAATTAGCTTGGCTAGGCTTCTTTCTTTTTTTTTTTTTTTTCACCTTCTGCAAAGCACAACTCATCCTGTCTACAGCACACTGGCTCAAATAGGACTTTTACAGCAGCTGTCCAATAAAATCTGACACGAGTTTGCCACAGTGCATGGAAAACTCCTGCTCAGGCATTTTAAATGTGCTATAAACAGGAGCAGATGATGCACAAAGCGTGGCTTTTTGTCTTGATTTGGATCTTGGTCCTTTCCCGGCGYGGTACCTGGAGTAAGACGAGGCGCTGGAGAGACTGGAGGAGTAGGGCTGCCTGAATCCACAGGGGGACAGGGCAGGGTAGACTGGCTGGCTCTGCCTGCCACAGCACAGCAAAGGGAGACATGGTAGCAGGAGGCGGCTTTTAGTTGGGTTTTTTTTTTTTTGCTTCACAGGTCAATGTTTGACCTTAAAGTCATTTTAACCCAGACTGTTCTTAACTTTAAAGAAGCATAAAATCTGGTAAAATGACAATTATCAACCTTCAATCATCACTTCCAAGTTTCAGTTTTTTATTTTTCTTATTTGCACCTCCATTGATACTTTTAGTTATTTAGGTTTTTCATGAAATTAGCAAAAAATACAGTCTGGGATGCTTTTAGCTGTAGTAAAAAGCAATGTTAAGATGAATGTTTAAAAAAAACATGCATAATTAAAAAAAACGGCAACATCCATGAAAGAACCATTTAGGATCAAGAAAACCAACAATTATAAAGTATTCATAAGCCTTTACCCGCAGATGTAAGTAAAATATGCAGATAAAAATACTTTGTTTACATTGAGTGCAGACCTGCATTTCAGAATTGCCTGTCAATAAATCGGAAAAGCCTCTTTGAAATAGTTCACGATAACCTGTTTTGTGGTTTGATTCCACAGTTTGCACTGAGCACCTTTATTGCGTCTCGCGCTGCTGARACGATCCGTGTGAAAAGTTGGGATCAGAGCTGCTGACAGCTGTGCGTCAACACACAGCTTGTGTAGTCGGAGCACAAGCACAAACACCACGGGGGGTCGAGGGTGCTGATGGAGTGTAAGTCTGAGTCTTTGATATGTAGAAACTACACCTCCTGGGACCGAACACAACTATCCCACTCTTCAGCTGACTCATCCTTGCGTTGAAATTTATGCAAACACACACACTCTCCAACGCACATCTAGCTTTTAAAGCCCCTTTACAATCTCCATCGTCGTCACACACACACACACACGTATCTGTGTTTGAGCACCAGGAGGCAGAGCTACATCAGAGCCCAGCAGCAGCAGCTCTCAGTTGGGAGGAGGTCCAAAAAAAATAAAAAATAAAAACGCCTGACCTCTGCTCCTGGAAGACCATCTCATTCTGTTTGAACTCACACTCCAGGTCAAGTGTTGATCAGATAAAGGCAGGTCAAACTTCAAAACTTTTATCTCACTCACCAAATCTCTGAATCTAATAAGCAACCTGTTACTCAACGTTCTTTGTCTATTATTAAATTTTTTTTGGGTGGACAGTAAAAATAAACACTAAAATGAAACTAATTTATAGTGTCAGGATCACCGCACACAGCAGCTCCTGAGTGATGGACCGTAGTTAGAGGAAAAACTCCTCAGTGTGAAAGGCACGATCAAGCAGAGGCATGCTGGGAATGAAATGAAATCTAAACAACCTGATCTGTCGTACGGCTTTGCACCTTGTTGTCACTTTCAGTCCAGTAACAGAGAGARTACAGCTTAATTAAACTGGAAATAAAAACAACTCATAACAGCTGCAACTCTCCTGTTCTAAAAACCTTACTTCTAACAATCATCAAGTATTTGTTTTTGGTAACACTTTACGGTAAGGGTGCCCTTATATTCACGAGTATGTAAACACTTTATAAAGCATTAATAAAACAGTTMTAAGTCACTGTTCACACATCGACAAAGTCAACTTCTGTACTTTTACTCAATCAGGTAAATYTGAGCTGCTCAGATAACTTTTTATTTGCCAAAACAAACATTGGGTCAATAAATCTTCACAATTCTTACAATGGCTTATTAAGCATTTACAACCTAATTAATAATATAATTAACTATTTATTAATAATTTACTATTTACTATAGGTACTATTATTGTAAAGTGGTATCTAGTGGAATTTAACTCAACTTTTAATTTTTTTGTTTATTTAATTCTTTCCTTCTTTCTTTCCTTTCTTCTTTCTTTCCTTATTTCCTTTTTCCTTCTTTCTTTCCTTCTTTCTTTCCTTCTTTCTTTCCTTATTTCCTTTTTCCTTCTTTCTTTCCTTCTTTCTTTCCTTATTTCCTTTTTCCTTCTTTCTTTCCT